AGCAGCAGCTTCAGGCCATCCCAAAGTCTGACTTCCAGAAAGGTTTCGAGGACTGGAAACATCTTTGGGCAAAGTGTGCTACTGCCAATGAAGCATAGTTCAAAGGAGATTGACTCAAAACCTGTTTATGTATGAATGTTTTTGCATTATAAATTCAGTCTTGATACTTTCTGAACAGCCCTTATAGATTTGAAACTGTCTCTGCAAGTGAAAACTGCAGCTCGAATTTTTGAAGCAGGCTCAATACGGAGTGCCTCAGCCATACGCCTTACACCCTAGGAGTAGTGCCGTGAGGCTGCCCAGTACCTCGAACGCTTAGCTCCGATTACAGTGCTGACGTAAAATATCTTCAGTGGTAAAGGGTTACAGTCCCCTTGCCCTCAGGCTAACCATGGGAGGGTTCTCTCCCTGTAACGCAAATGTGGGTTAGTTCCATCAGAAAGTCCCCCACGAAAGCCAATTTCTTCCAATACTTGATCCAGAAGTTCTCTTGTCTTTCGTATTGGCTTTAAAATTACACGCCTACGGAGTTGAACACTAGTTGTCATAAATCCAAAAATTGGGTCGGCTATACAACAATATAAAATAAAATAAAATAAAAATCATGCGCAGTAGATACATTTCTCTCCAGTCTTTCTGCAATATTGAGGAAAGAAAATTCATCTTCTCGCTGCCCATGTTTAAAGTCAGTGAGCTGTTGATAATAGCTTCTTGGTTTTCTTAAAGTCATTCTTGACTAGCAGCAACTCACCATTGAAATTGAACGAAAAATAACGCTTGCGAACTGTCGAACACGTATTTAGAGCAACCTTGATTTGAATGTTCACAGTGGCACCACTAGCTCTTGGCATATGCAACAAGCACGAACTTAGAGTAGACATTTATAGTTTTAAAACATGCCTACCAAATTTAGTTTATCTCGCACAACTCTTTTGGTTCTCAAATTATGAATAAGTTATACAGTTTAGGTTGAAAAAGGTAGGCTATAAAGTTATAAAATTTAAGTAATATTTAGGAAAGTTATAAATTAAAAATTAAATAATCATACTTTCTATGTATTGAATTTTTTTTTCAAGATGTTGAACAATCGGAAGTAGCAATTTTTAATTTTTTCATTTTTATAAATCGAGAAATATTCTTGAATGAAAAGTTTAATTAAATTTGAAAAGAAATGACATATTAAATAAATCGTATTGTATTAAGGAAATGAGCTATTATTAAAAATCTATTCAAAAGTGAATAAAATAAAACAAACAGAATTCAGATAAATAGGCAAAATTTCTATGCTTTATCAAGCAATAGACCATTCTTGAACTGAAAATTATTTTTTTAAATTTTTTAAATATTTTTTTAAACTTTTATCTTTTTGCTATTCTGCTAACAGTTGGCGTGATATATTGCGTTGGTCTCATAGAATAGTACTCGATAATATTTGGGAAGAAAATTAATTTTAAAATTAAAAAATAAAGGGAATGTATCTTATTAATAAGCAATCTAATATAAAATTTCATTTAATAGAATTAATAAAATAGTTTCATTGACACATATTGGACACATTTTGAAATAAATACAGTGACGTAATAAAGAGAGCCGTCCACGCCAGTTTGTAGGAACAGCGAAATTGCTAATAACAATTTCAGCGTTTATTTTTGTTAACGCTGAATTTTTTTTCAAATTAGGTACAAATTCTCATGTATTTCTTCCCTTTTTTGATATAACTTTTTTTATACATCTATTAATTTCAGAAATTAGCAAAATTTCAAATAATTATACAATTTCTACAATATTTGTCCTTTAAATGTTTTTAATAATTTAGTGCAAAATAAATAGTGCCTAAATTATTACCGATCTTTCTTTCTATGTATTCTCCTTATTCCATGCGTTCTGTTCATTTATGGATCTTTTTCTATTTCTTTTTTGATTATTAATAAATATAAGGGAACTGGCAAAATTGCTTATATCAACAATTTCTACAAAAAAAAGATTTCCCTTTTAATTTCTCTTTAATTAAATACAAGTTAGGGGACGTTAAAAATATTATGATTAAGCACTTTATTTTCTTGATAAAACATATTTCATTTTTATTTTCTAATTTCATGGGGTAGCAGAGCTGCTGATTACAATATCTAAAGTTTCTTCCCATAATTATTCTTAAAGTATAAATTAAGGCAAGGCTGTGAAATTTCACTTCTAAAGTAAAAACCAGATTAAAATTTTTACTCGTCACTTTTTCACGAAAGCTTTAAACAATTTTCAAAATGTTAACAGCAATTGCTTTGGTGATCAAAACCATAAAAGAACGAAGAGAAGGAAAAACTGAAACATATCTAATTTGCCAAAAAACACTGTAGTTAGAAAAGTTGCAATGGTCCAAATGTCATTCCTATATCATTAAAAGTCATTAAAATTAAGCTGTCTTTAGTCCATGATAGCTGAAGCCCATCTCGCAAGAAGATGTGATCACTATTTATCTTAATCAAAAATTGAAGAATATTTTCTCTGAAATGCTAATCTGAAGAGTCAAAACGTGCAGAGATGCTGACACAGTTATTGACGTAGATGCAAACAGATAACACAGCAGTTGATATAGATTGCTGAGAGGCAAATTTTTGTATATTTAATAAATTTCCCTCTTAAAGTTTAAAACCATTGCTCCCTATTATTTATATTTTATTTCTTAGTTGTCGTTAAACAGCTGACCCAATTTTGGAATTCCGACTATTATTGTTCAATTCCTGGCCTTGTAATTTTGCACCTCAGCCAGAAGAGAAGGGGACTCCTGGATGAAGTATTGGTAGCGATTTGCCTTCGTGGAGGACTATGGAAATAACCCCACATTCACGTCAGATGAATAGGAAATCCATCAATGCCTCCCACGGTTAGCCTGACTGCAAGACCCTATAAACCCAATGTCCGTCTGTCACTGAGGATATTTTATGTCAGCACTGTGATTGGTGCGAGTTAGGTACTGAATTCGTATCTAACAGCCAGCAATAGGATTCGAACCTAGGTCTACTAACTGGGAGGCGTACGCTCTATACCCTGACCACAACTCCATTTTTAATATTTATTTTTCTAATCACCTTCGAGGATCAGCAGACCCAATTTTGAGTTAACGACCACCAATATTCAAATCCGTAACCTTGTAATTTTGAACCCAATCCAGAAGACAAGGGAACCCCTGGATTAAATATTTGGAAAAATTTGGCTTCCTGAAGAATTTGTTGATGGAAAGAACCCACATTTGCATTTAATGGAGAGGAAAACTACGATCATTTTTTTCAGTTCGCTTTATAATTGTCAGCTGAAAAATCACAACTTGAGGAAAAGCATCGTAGTTTGATTTGAAACTCTACATTTTAAAAGACAAGACTTACTTGCCAGCCCTAAATACTCGGATGCTAAATATTATGGCGAGCTGAAGAATGGAAATTTCACGCTTTGAATTGGGGATTACATAAGATATTATGATTGATGTCTTTTTCCATGTATTTCTAAGCGGACTACTTTACGGCATTTTTTTTCTTTATCGGAAAGCACATTTCTTGTTTAAAAGAATGTCAGGAATAGCCTGGTTGGTAGGCAGCTGGACTCACGTTCCTGAGAACGGGAGTTTGCAGCCAGTCGGCCGAAGACTCGCCGTGTAGTTAATGGTGGAGCACGCTGAATCTGTCGGGTCACAAAATCATCCATGTTCCCAAAACAAATTTTGCCTCTGGGGGTACTGGATTGGAGATTGATCATTTTTTGGTCGAGGTCAAAATCACTGTCTGTGGATGAATAACTGGATGTATGAATGGGTTCGCCACCCTATAAACTGGTGCGTCGTATGGGTGTTGGCAGAAGTGAAACAGATGGCTCAACTGGAAAACAACAATCGCACCCCTAGTGCCTTAATGGCCAACAACAAAATAAGAATGCCACTGATAAAATATTAATGGATGCTTTTACCGCTTTCTGAAATACTCAACAAACTGCATACTGATACAATTATACGAAGCTACAAGAATCGTTTTTTTTTTACACTTTCATGAGCAAGCAATTTTTAAAGCAAACATATTTTCTAATTTTTAATTTAAAACATACTTAATTAAAAGTCTTTTGCGATAAGAAAAGAAAAAAAAATCGCAAAAGACTTTTAATGGTGGTGTGAATGTAAACAATAACTGGAGAAGGAGATTTAACTTTGAACTGTACAAGATTTATAAACAACCTGATATTATTAAATACATAAAAATAAATAGATTGAATTGGATCGCCCACGTGATTCGAATTAGTGACGACAACGCAATAGAAAAGATACTGCTTTTTAGACCCACTGGAAAAAGAAAGCGGGGAAGGCAGCGGTTGAGATGGGCTGAATCACTGGAGTCTGATTTTCTCGCAATTAATGTAAAGAATTGGAGATCAAAGATAAATCGGAAGTCGTCATGGAGAAATCTTCATAGGAAGGCATTGGCTCACATTGGGCTGTCTGGCCAACTATGATGATGATGATGATGAATTAAAAGTCTAAAATTATGAATAAAACAATTATTTACTAACAAGTAATTAATTCAATTCCTTTTTTATCAGCTATTGCAAATTTTTTACATATTTTACAAGTCTTCCTTTATTATTAATTCATACAAATTGAAATAATTAAATCGAACTCTTTATTATATCAATTTCTTTTTTAAACACTCTAGATATCCCAAAGACTTATTTTAGTTTCATCTGGAAAAATTTCTTTTTGCTGGCTATAGTTATTAATTAGTTTTTGTATTGCGTATGTCATAGTGAGAGTCAGTTGCTATTTATACCAGTTGCAAACATTAATTGTGACATTGGCGTTGATTTTAATTACACCAAAATGTGTCTGAATTTATTTATCTGACTTTTATATTGAAATGCCTTATTACTTTTTTTATGAATTTAGTTACTTTTTTATGACTTTAAAATATCAAGTGATTAAATATATGAAATATAACAATGAAAATATTAATGTATTTTTGTTTCAGGTCCATGTTCCTAAAATTAATAAAATCAAAAGTGAATTAAATGGATAGAAGACAATTGTTCAATTTCTTTATGACTTAACATCTATGAAGAAGAATAACAAAACATTTAGCGAGAACTACAACCAACTAAAAAACCATATTAAAAGCAGCGGGTTAATAAAAGACAAGGTAGAAAATGAAATAAGCAATCGAACAGATACGGTTTTATCTGTTTAGATTCAAATAAATGTTGAAAAGAAGAAAAAAGTAATAACGGAAGAAAATCAACTCATTCGCAATATAAGATGTCGACAAAATCTATTAATTCCTCCAGTAATAAAGCCTCAAAATCGGCCTCAAGTGAGTCTATATCATCAAACGAAAAGAAAGATTTCCCCGTTGAAAACTCTGAGCTTCAAGAAGGTATCCCTGATGGATGCTCGATATCAGGTTATCAAAATTTTGCAAAGGCAGCTGAAATATCGTATGAAGTTATACCAAATTTACAGATCGTAGAAGCTGAAATTTCTAACAATGATAACGGCTCTGCTCTGTCTAACAGTGATGGTCTGGAAATCAGCTTATTTAAATCATTAACCTTAGAAGGAGAACCATTAGAGAATTCTGGAGACAGGCGAGACACGAATGAACAAAATACACTTGATAAGAATTTCCCAACTTCTGTTAAAGCTAATGATGACGCAGCAGAAGAAGCAAGAAAGGTTGGAAAAGAAATGAGAGAACCTGAATTGAAACATGAAAATCGTAATTTGCAAACATCTTCTGTATTCTCTGAACTTATGAATCAGTTCCAAAGGCATGCCGTTAAGAAAGTGAGCAATGAACGCGATAAGCCAGCTGAAGCAAAACTATCCAGGACTGGGCAGATTTCCTCTTATACGTCGACTACTCTTATAAATGAAATGCCGGATTTAAATACTGAAGTACATTCGATGCCAATTACCAGTACTAATTCCCTTTCAACTGAATCATGCAATAATTTAGATTTACCCAACACCAAAAATGATAATGAACTAAGTAGAAATATGAGGTTAGAATCTACTGATAACCAAGAAATTCCGATTAATCAGTCACCATCGAATGTCTCTGAAAACAATTTAAACGTGCCGAATGAGGATGAGCTCGAAAGGAAGCTCGACAGTAACCACCAAAACCTGATGAACCAACCATCACCGAATGACTTTGAAAGTCATTTAAATGCAGAGCCAAATGACCCGGAAGATATCAAGGAAAACGAGTTTGAGACCTTGTGACAAAATTCGATGAATCAACCATCACCAAACGAGTCTAATAATAATTTAAGCGGAATACCAAATGAATTTATTCCACACACTCAGGATTCTCAGTTAAATTATGTAAAGTATAAAACTTGTGGCGTTCAGACAAGTGAAGTTACAGAAATTTGTGATTATTGTAATTCAGAAAGGATTCGAAAAAAGAAAGCGGATGATAATAGTAAACAACGTAACTTTCAAAAGATATTTAGTGATGACAAAAAAGAATTCATCAAAAGAGAAGAGAAAAAGAATGGTATTGAATATAGTGGAAAAATTTGCTTGGATTTGATAAATTCGTATTATCACTTTACTTTTGGACATTTCGGCAGTGAAAATATAATCGTTATTGACTCATCAAATTGTGACAAATTTGTTGGGTGTATAAAAATTGTTGATGGGGAAGAGTTGAAATTCAATGAACCATTCGAGTATAACAAAACAATAATACTTGATAGTATCTTGATTACTAAAATTCTTGCTGATGACCTATTAGACAAACGAAATGCAACATACGACGATCTTCTTCGAACATTAGAAAGCAGAAGTAAAAATATTTCGGATGATCCCAGTTGCACTGAAGATTTCTTGCAGTTTCTGTTGATAGGAAAATTTCAAAACCTATCGTTAGACAAACCTATATTTTTATTAAAAACAATGATTCAAAATGAGTTCATATCTAATGAAGTAAAGAAAGATGCTGAACGTCTTTTGCAAGTAGAAAATCTTCTTTACTCCCGAAACCAGTTTTTTCCTAAATTTAGCCATACTTCGAATCCTAATACACATGATTTGTTTGCAGCTGTAAGAAGTACATGCCAGGAAGGTATAAAAAATCACAAAAGAAATTTGTTGAATAAGTGTCCTAATAAAAGCTTCCATCTTGTATGTCTAGTTGTAACTATAAATCGTTTACCTGGTCGAAACTTGCTATACATAAGCAATAAAGATATTGAACTGTTTTCTAACATAATGGAGCTAACTAATGAAAAAGACCAATCTGGTAACGAGATTTTCCCAATTAATTTCGTTGAATACTACTGGAACAATTTTTTCAAAAAAATCCAAACAGAAAAAGTTAAATCCTTAAAACAATTAGGTCCAATGACTCACCCACTTTATTTATTTCTTTTGAAGACCTTACGAGAGGTAATCGCTGACATCTGCTCCAGAACACAATTAACCACAAGCGAATTGTTATCGATTAGAAATGGGGAGCTTGTTATGAAGGATCCTATTCCGTGGTCATCCAAAAATCCGGTGGACAAATCGTTGGAAGAGCAATATCGTCTGATTTTCAGACTCGTGAAGCATTTTGAGCCAGGAATGTATTCATGCCAAAACAATTTCGCCTACAAGTTCAAACTTCTAAATGAGAACGAAAATGAGTCTCTGTGGAAATCGGTGAAGAAGTTAATTTTCGGCAATGTGTACGACTTTAAGAATGTTCCTCAAGATCGTATTGTTTGGCTATATATTGTTGACTGTGCTGTCGCTCCTCTTTTAGGAGACAAATCCACAAGCCGCTTTAAACAATTATCCCTTTCTGTAGTTCCTGGATTTGTGAAATTCATCCAAACGACTAAGCAGCTTCAATACGAATCATTCCGTGTTGCCACGCATAACATAATAAAATTCACTGCTCAGATATCACCCTACTTCTCTGATATTAATTCTATTTTAACAGATGTCGACCATACTATTTTAAACAAGCAAATAGACATCATAAGCGGATTACTTTGTCCCGAGGAGAACGAAGTCGCGTCTGTTAACTTTTCTGATTTAATGACGATATATAACGAATATTGGGAAAATAGAGAAACAATTGTTGGAAAGCTTCCAATCCCTTGTAGCATTTTTAAACCTGACGTGGAAGTAGTGATGAAGAAACTGATACAAATCGTTCAAAAAGCACTTCTAAAAGATTTCAGGCCACAGCTGACCATAACGTTTTTAAGACTGTACAACGAATTTTTAAAGCACCTGCAAGGAATTGACTTTACATGGTTTGTCTCTAAAAACATTTACTTTCCCGAACTAGAGGGAGTTGTAGAAAAGGTGTCCAAAAAAGATGTCGTATCTTATAAAATTACCGAATCTGAAGAATTCATTCAAAGGTTAGAGAAAAAGCGGAAAACGCATCCTAAACATTTTTCTATTGAGGTTGTTAACAAACTTCTGAATGTTGTGAGCATGTCCTTTGACAAGAATGACTGGGATGATGAAGATTGTGTGAGTGCAGCTGGCGATTTGTTTCTCGCAGTAGGACATTCATGTTGTCCGATTATACCGATCTCGAGCATTTCTTGCGAGATTGTACTGTTCCGTTTTGCTGTGTGATTGAAAATAGTAGAACTTATTCTGAGTTTAAGCAACGCTTAGAGAATGTCGAAAATTTTTACCTTTATTCCAGAAAACTTAACCAAATTGGAGTCGAACAAGCTTTAGAACTTTGCACAGAGGGTGTAAAAGAAGCTGGAAATAATGGATTTCAAACGAAAATTGATAAAAGTGTATTGGAAGATTGCTACAGCCTTTATTCGAAGAAATTCGCATCATTAGAAAACTTGCAAGTGTCTGACATATTGGATGACATTGATAATACAGTAGAGCAATTACCATTACAAAAGTGGTCTTCGGACTTCAAACGAAATATTCTACCAATTTTATTGGCTGATTTGGCTGCTGTTTGGTCTCTTAATGAATCTAAGGATGTGGCAGATATAAAGAAGAGGATAGAACCACACTGCGTTCAAATTCTGTGCTTATTTAGACTTCTGGGTGTTGATCAAGATGCCAGTGGAGTTCCTAAACATTTTGCACAGGTGTTGACAGGTCAAGGAAAATCTCTTATTTTAGCACTACTTTCTTCTGTTATTGCTCTGACAGGTAATAAGGCATTTGTAGTTTGTTATAGTGATTATCTTGCTATGCGTGATGAAACAAGTTTCAATCTGTTCTTTAAGACGTTTAATAGATTTGATCTTAAAAACAAGATAAGTTACAACACATTTCGTTATATGGCTAATGAAATTTTAACACACAAAGTTGGTGGGATTAAGAGGGATTTAAGATCAGTTGTTTCAGATCTTATATTAAACAAACTTACAAAACAAGTAATTGATGCAGTCGAGGTACCGAAAAACACCGTTCTTTTAATTGACGAGGCTGACGTCTTCTTCTCCGATAAGTACGGAGAGACATATGAGCCTGTTACACGTGTGGGTATTCCTGAATTATTAAAAATTCAACCAGAGATTTGGAGTATAATAGAAAATGGCGTTTCTGAAAAAAATACGATTTTGCGAAAAATTAAGGAATATATTAATGATATTATAAAAGATGAAGAATGTGATGAGTTCAGAAATTTTTTGAAAACTACTGCTGATTTTTTTGAAAAGAATTTGATAAAAATGGTCGAAGATGCAATTGTAGTTTCTAAGACTAAAGAAGATGACACGTACAAAATAGATGAAATTACGGGTTTTCTCACCGTTAAAAGTCGTTCATTCGTTTACACATCAAGAACAATTAACGGCTATCAAAATACATTTCATTACTTCAAGTTAAAAAAAGAAAATTATAAACATTCATTCTTTTCAAACTACGGTTATTTGTTAATTAGTTTGGGTTCAATTTCTTACGCTAGCTTACCCGTCAGATATGAAAATATTCTTGGAGTGAGTGGAACGCTAATGACATTAAACAATTGTGAAAGAAATGCCATAAAAAATTATGGAATCCAAACCATGTCTGCTATGCCATCTTTCTTTGGAGAAAGTAAACTTGTATTTAAACCCCATAAAAATGTATTAATTTTTGACACAGAAGAAAATTGGCTAGAAAATATCTTCGAAAGTCTTTCTAAAAGCATTCATGCTGATCGAGCACGAGCTGCTTTAATTTTCTTTGAAACTGATGGAAAAATGAAACTATTTGAACAGAAATACAGAAATAGAATTAACCGTCTTTATACATTAACCGGAAATGAAAAACCAGACATACTGGAATGGCGTATAAATGAGTCTGGCGTTGCGCAGACTGTAACTTTAACGACTAGAACCATGGGTCGTGGTGTGGACTACAAATCGAACGATCGCAACGTGGAAGAGAATGGGGGTGTGCATGTAATTCAGACATTCTTTTCACTGGACGAAAAGGAAGAAACCCAAATCAAAGGCAGAACGGCTCGTAAAGACAACAAGGGAAGTTACGAATTGATTCTGTGTAGAGAAGATTTAAAGGCAATAAAATGTTCGGAAAATGAAAGTGGTCGATCAATTAATACCTATGCAGAGCTTTGCAAAATTAGACAGGAAATAGCCAATAATAAAGGCACTGAGGTCGAGAAAAATATTCGAAGATGTGAGCAAACACATAATATGACAATTGAATTTTTCGAATCCCTCGCTGATTATAGTACAGAAAAACGCCATCAATATTTTTCAAAATTTCCACTTGTAGAAGATTAATAAATAACTATTAGTGTGGTTTTTGTTACGGTAGTCGTTTGACCATTTTCATATTCCATACGTTTTGTTAAGTAGTTTATATATAAAGATTACTTTAGGTATTTTCTGTGTGGTGTCAAAATAAGTAGAAAATAATTTTTAAAACTTTTGTCTGGAATAAGCATTACTTTATCACAAATAAAATTTTTTTCAATCAGTAACAAATATATAAATAAATTTTTTCAATCAGTAACAAATATAGTAATTTTATTCATTTAAATAAGTACTAAAGACATATTCAAAGTTTTTATTTGTAAAACTATTTACCAATTTCATGTTCCTTACTTTTAAAAAAATAATTTTGAACAATGTAAAACCTAATTCAATTCATTTACATTAATATTCCAGACGTTTTCAATGCCCTCTTTTATAAAATTCTTTATTTGATTTTATTGTTGCTTCTAGTTTTATGTTTCTAACTTTTTGTAAAATAAGTGTAGTCAATATAAACACTAATTCTATTCATTTAAATTAA